ACTCATTAAGCATAATCCATAGGGTGCACAATTGGAGAGGAAAATTTCCTAACCACAGCAGCCATTGCTTCACGAACAAGAAAACTGACTTAAAATGGGATTTTTATAACTTTTAATGGACAATGATCTGGTCCCCTTAAAAACAAATTTCAAAAAGCAGGAAAAGCAAACCCAAACAGTTCATAGGTGACTGTAGCAACTATTTGACTTGGCCTCCTGCCTTGCCACCTTGCACCACACCCAGCACATCAAATCACCAGGCAAGAGTCATGGTGGTAAGATGACCTCCATTATAGCAATAGCTCGTGCTATTTGCCTGCTCATAAGATAGTATTTGAAGGAAGGTGTGATCATATTGTCCTGCTTCGATGAGCTTCTGACAGGTTGCAACCCTGAAGACAAACAGATCCTTTCAAGCAAGTAACGAGTAAATGAAAAGGGAGGAAGAGGGTGGGAGGGAAGAAGGGGAGGCAATCTTAACCTATCCAAACACAGAACGGTCTTAAAGACACCTGCGAGCACCAAGCTCAAGGTGTGCATTCATTGGAAGGCACAAAATAAATACCAATAGGCACAGGTAGCAGGATGTCTGTTCCCAGAAAGCTTTTGGACAAGCTTAAACAGCGCATGAAAGCTCCAGGCACTTATTCAAATGCTAAAAAACACAACCCACACATACACATTTGAGGCTTCTTGCAAGGATTAGTAACAAAGTCACATGTAAGCAAAAGAATAGCTTCATCTAAGCTGCTCCAAAACACAGTTTATATAGGCAAATGTTTAGGCTCGGTGCTCTGAATGATAACGGCTGGCTTGTGAAACGCAGGTCAGCCCAAGATGACCATGCAAGCATCTCCCAAAGCAGAGACCTTCAAATGCCCCCATCCTGATACATGCAGAGCACTAAATACTTCCTTAGCCAGAGCCTGGACGTAAGAAAAAGTTAAAACTTCAAACAAAATTCCTTAGCTGACTATCCAAGAGACTCATGAAACACTCAACAGCTGTTGCTGGCTGCAGTCTCTCAAGCTTCATTAAACACTGCGCTGAGGCTCTGGCTGGTAGTCTGGGGAAGTGCTGCGATGCAGGCTAATAGACCGCACAGGGAGCATTTAAGGACCCGGCTGCAGTATTGCTTTGTGCTGGTGACTCCCTTATGAAGATCACCAAAAATCAGATTTTCACTCCCCTTCTGCCATCTGCATCTGGACCTCTCCATGCTGCCTCCCCTCCCACCCACTCCAGCCCTGATTACAACTGGCATGAGGCCAGCAGTTTTGGCTGACATGGTGCTTACCTCTCTCACCCAGGCCGGGCACCCGCATGCTTTGCTCAGTGCTGAGCCACAGCAATTCGCTTGTACACGTCAGCTGAGGACTGGTTTAATCAGGAGACAGCAGCTTTATTGTGAAGCAGTTACCTGACCTTATAATAAGGGACATGATTCCCCTGGTGGCATTTGTGCATATGTATAAACCGCATACTTTTATGCGAGTTATTGCTGTAACTTGGCAAAGGGTAAGAGTGCAGTGTCACAAGTGTCTTTGGTAGCCTCTGATTACCTGAGATCTTGCAAACCCAGACAAGGAGGAATGAGTCTTGAGCACAAGTTTGCTTCTTTCTGCTTCCTGCTTTAGATAGTAGCTGGCCTGGTCCTAACCTCACACTTTGCATCAGCAGGCCTGTGACAAACAGAAACTTCAGAAACCCAGGGCGTAGGATTAATTACTCCCTGATCGTTTACCTCCAGACCTCTCCCACCCTCTGCAACTGCTCTGTACAAGCACTGTGCAACCCCAGTGGGAGTCCTCTGCCAGAAAGAGATGCTGTGATGAGCGCCCTCTCTCTTTTTAACGGGTTTCCCTGCCCCTTCCTCCCCCTTTACAATAAGGCCCAAATGGTCTCTCTGCCGTTCTTGTGGTGCATCTACCTGGACGGGAACATTTGTTTGATAAACTCAGTACACACCGAATTTCTTTTTGAAGCTTATTGGTGTAAAGCCAGGGATAGCACTGCGTTTAGGGACACTGTGCCTATGGATGTATTTTAGCATCTGCAAACACCTTGGAAACAGAAGTGAAAAGGGTACATTTAACTACAAGGTCAGAGATTCAGAAGTGTTTGGAGCTTCAATAAAACTCTCAACAGCTAAAGAACATTTTTTCTGTGTTAATTTAATCATACAAATATTCATTTATACATTAAGGAAAAAGCTTCCTTTTTATTTTTTCCCCCAATATGCTATCATAGGACTTCTCCCAGACTCAATGAGGCAACACACCATCCTGTTCTACACATGCACTCCCCCCAGAGAGAATAGACAGGCTGCAGAACCACCCACTCACTCACACAAGAAAAAAAAATTAAACACACAACAGAAACCCAGACGTGGGACAGCGTGCATTTCCTAATCCTGCAGACTCCAGCTACTCTCATGCCCATGTGCTCTTGGACCGCACAACCTTGCCCCTCTGTTGCGGGGGGGGAGCCGCATCTTTCAAGCCCTCGAGGGGTTTGGATACAACTCTCCTGAGGTGTGGGCAGCAGACTCCTGCTCCCCTTCCTCCTAGTGTGGCATCGCCAGTTTGCAGCTAGTCCTAGGTATCTCATGCTCCAACTCGCCTAGACTGAGACAGGGTGCCTGGACTACCACTGCTCATAGCGTCTTAGCTACACAGCTACAAATCCTAAAAGGCTCATGCTTGACACAAGGATCTGTTTTAGAGACCATCAGATATGTATTGCATTACCTCTTTTTCCTTTTTTAAGAGGGAGGAAGAGGGAAGATCTTGCTTTCTCACCACCTCAAGACTTCAGGGCAGATGGCATTATTAAGAGACTGGAGCCAGTTGCAGCCTCTCTGTGACCACATCCCCTCTACCAGTGGGTACCAGCCCCATCCCTCCCCCACTCAGGAGCACCAGCCTCACTTGGGTAACACATCCTCTTCTACTGGCTCACTAGTCTCAACCCAGTCATGATTTCCTCACATTTCCAACAGGCCTGAGAGTTCAGTGTGCTTAACTCACCTGGACTGGGTTACCTGAGCTGCTGCATACACAGAGCCTTACACTCACCAAAAGATTTGGCATTCAGGACTTCTGAAAAATCAGGCCATGCTTCATGTACTCGATAGTAGACTCCAGGAGTCTGAAGGCATCAGTCCTATTGCAATCAATGCAATCACAGTGCCCTGAAGTCACCTGGGAAGAGCTTTTCTGCATAGAACTCAGATCCCCCTTCTTAAAAGCTGGAAACCTGACAGCAAGAACAATTTGGGGCTGGCTGCACCACTAAGCTCCAAGAAACCAGAGGAGACAAAACCACCTCTGGCCTCTGTGAAACACCCTTACTAGAGGAAAAACCCAGAGGGGCAGAGCAACCACTAATTTAAACATTCTTCCACTGTCACAGCGAGGGTTATAACCTTCGCCCTCAAAGCGTTCAGAGCACTTTGCAATCATCCGTGCGGCGATCATTCCCACAGACCAGAGTGCTTACACTCAGCTACCTGGGGAACAGCTGTACTGTGAGTAGCAAGAGGCTGCAGATTTCAGCAGCAACTCAGATGTGGCCCTGCTTTTCTTCACACCTCGGAATAAGTGACCCTTGTCACAGGGACACCGTGGACTGAAAACACTTAAGAGGAGAGAGAATTCAAATCTGTGCAGAACAAGTATGCCTTCTGAGTGGGAAAGCACAGGACGACTTGGGGTGCATGCAAGCTTTTTTCAAGAAAAGGAAAATTCAGTCTTAGTAGTGGGAGCACAGGAACACAAATGCGGCAGCCATTACATAAGGGAGGAGCATACATGCCTGGGAGCAGAAAAAAGCTAGAGTGGGGGTATCCGTGTTCAAGGGTCTCTCAGCTGACACAAGGCAAAGGTTGCAGCAGCACCAGCTATAGTATGCAGACCCAGAACTTACTTCCCCCCCCCCGCCCCTTTCCTTACACAGCTGCTGAAAGGAGCTAACAAAGACAAAGAATCACCTTGTCACTTGGACAAACAGCAGTCTCCAGTGTTTTAAATGCTTTCAGAAGGGAAGCAGCAGTATTACAAGAGGTGTAATGGTCAGGTATGTTTTCATGCCTTTAGAGCTTGCTCAAAAAGGAGGGAGCGGAGAACGAATCCACTTGCCCATGCTATAGTGATGCAAATCATTCCCTAGATTCAGCTACTGAGAGAAGACAACTTATCCAGGGCAAAAAGATTTTTACAAGAACAAGAACCAAGTGCTACAGCTGCACTAACCAGTGCACCACCACCTTCCGCGTTTACATTTCACAGCAGATCAATCTGCATCTGTACCAGCTCACCCAGTTCTAGCAAACTGCCATGATAGACGCAGGTCTGCTTGCCAAACCACATGTGCAAATGGCTAGCAGTCCAAATTTCCTCTTCTTCATGGAGAGAACTTCTTACATTATACTTGTTTCTCCCTGTAAAAATTTCTGCAGGGAGGCTTCAGATAACATGGTGACCTTTAGCAACCAAACCTCTGAAACACAAACAGAATCTATCAGCTGTTTCCATGGAATTAACAGTGAGCAGTTAGTCTGCTTGGAGCTACAATGTCTTAGTATTCTCCCAAAGGTCCAATTCTTCCCTCTGTAAGATACAAGGAACTCCCACTGTCCTCTTCGAAGATCCATCTGTATGCACTAATAACATAAAGAGAGTCCTCAGCAGCTGCGGTGAAAATGAATCCCCCACTCAAAACCAACCAAGAAAAAACAACCAGTCTGGAACAATCAGCCTGGAGCCACACGCCATGCAGCAGGCTCACACTCAGCTCTCAAAAACAAGAAAGGAGACCATGCTGGAGAGACGTGGAAGAAGGTAGCAGGGGCTTTGCATATTATTGTATCTTTGGCAGATGGCTGTTCTCGCCGTGTTCAAGTTTCTGAAAGAGACTGTGCCCCCTCACCTTGCTCCCCTTCAGCATGGTCTGTGGTGATACAACGCTTTAGAAATCCACCACAGTACTCAAGGCTGTTCTTCCTCTCCCCACATAGGACCTCCCAATCCATAACTGCATGGACATACACCGAAAGAACAGCAGAGCAACCTCCGTTTGAGGAGCAATTCCTCCTCTGACAACGTGCCCTGGAGAGCCCACTTAGAAGGTGAGAGCCTCACCTGTAAAAAGCTACAAGCCAGTAAGACAAAGGCGAGTGAATACAAGGCGATACAGTGGAATCCAGCTGATGATACTAACTCTTGCTCTACATTCAAAAACGCAATGAAATAGCCTCTGTTTGCTAAGCTAATACTTTCTCACAGGAGAAATGAATTGAAACTTACTCTGCGTAAGAGAGAGACAGCAAAGGGAGATTCAAAACTAAAAGGACATGACTTCTGTAAAGCTTTACAACTACTATCAAGTGAATTATGCCTACAGAAAGATAGTTTCCTCTTGGCACGAGACTGATACGCTTGCTTGGTTGTTCTAGGCACAGCTACTGTATATCAAGAGTTAACAAAAAGGTATTTTGAAACGCTAACCACATAGGACAGCTCTGGAACTTTAATAAATCTTTCTTGTTAACACGGGTGCCTATTTATGAGTACTTCACGTACAAGGGGAAGGGAAATGAGCCCTCCATGTTATCCTAACCCAGTCCCAGAGTTTCTCTCCAACTCTGATACCGAGACCTTTTTTCAGCACCATTTCCAGTGACATGCAGGACAACTAACAGCAACACCCAAACCAAAAGGAAAAAACAGAAGAAATAAGAGAAGATTTAAAAGTTGGTAACTAAAACCAGCAGGTGCTATTAAAATGCAGAACTGGGTGAAGACCCAATCTCTCATTAAAAATGTCCAACAAAAATAAGTCACTGCACAAACCCCAGAAGATGCTAAGCAAGTTCCCATTCGGTAGCAAGCAAAACATGACAGTTCCATAAAAATGCACGCTGTCCCTTATTTAAAAAAATATGAACAGGAAACAAACAAAAATTAAACATTTGCTCAAACTACAACCGCTCTGTAGGCAAAATATTCTTTTTTTTAAAGATGGCTTTTTCATTTTAATTTTTTAAACTTTTAAGCTACCTAATTACGTGTGAAAATGACTTCTAAAAAAAACCCCATGGTGTTGGTATACTTTCTTTCTCATAGCATTAAACAACACTCCTGAAATTCAGCATTCACACATGCATACTTAGATTTTGTATTTTCCTCTGGAAACAGCTAGTCTTAAGTTATCGGGTTTTTGTTTTGTTTTCTTCTTTATCCAGGATACGGAGGCAGAGAAGGGGGCTCCACGTTGTGTCTGCTTGCCACATGAATCCCCCTCCCTTCCCCATAAGTCAGTTCTTTGTTAAATTCTCCTCTTGTCGATACCCGTTTTTTGTTTTTGTTTTAAGACTGTCCGAAGGGATAAGGACCGTGGAAACCCTGAAAGAAAGTTGGAGACATAATCAATTTCAATAGGCAAGAAATACAACTGATTAGCGTATGCCCACAAATACTGCCCATCCCATCCCAGTACTTCTAAATCAAACGCAACCTTTACCCACCACAGGAGTGACCTCTGTTGTCCGACCATATGAAACACTCTTGAGACACAGGGTTCAATGCTTGTTGTTGGTCTCCTCAGAGACCACGTCAGAGGCTATCAACAACTTACCTCTTCCAGCTGCTATTTAGGCCAGACAATAAATAGCCAGGCAAAATGTTTCTCAGATATTACAGGGCCACAGGGTAGCTTGCGAGGTTTTCTACACCAGAGTAGCAATCCCCTACGGATGCTACAATACCTGGAGGCCAAACAGGTGTAGTTTCACCAGGCTATACTGTGCAGTAAGCAGTTAAGTGAAAGGCTGTAAACAGTGGAAGGGTCTATTTTCAAAAAGAGCATTTTGAAATCCATGTTCCCACCTGCCGCTTTCACTCTCCCAAGGCAAGGATATACATTTTCCTCTAGCAAAAATCAACCACAATATTTCACCAAAAAATTAAAATACTTACTATACAATCCATTTTCCCTTCTTTACATTCTCAGGTGAGGGACCTAAATGCCAGATCTAGTAACAGGTCTCAAATCAACAGGAACTCTTTTCTGTAAGTTCTTATGTTCAAATGACCCATCAAGTATTTCATCAGGGAGCAAAAGAAAGACCAAAAGGGAGGCAAGAGATCTAAGTCACGGAGATATAAAGTTTGATATAACAGATGAAGATACACACATCAAATCCTGTAAGATCCAGATACATGCTCAGGTCAGAAGTGAGATGAGAGAGAAAAGCTCATTATATTTCATTATCAAAGCTGGAAGACAATTAGGCAACTGCTTTTTTATGCAGTTCGGCTTCTGCCTACGGTGCCGCTGAATAAGACAACTGACAGCGCAATTAACACAAAGTCATTCTCTGTCCTGAAGTGAAGCGCTGACTTCACTTTTCACCGTTTCACCTTCAACAGGACAAAGGGCTACCCATCAAAGGAAACATTGTTTCCAGCATGTTTTCCTGCAACCCAGGAACAACCTTGCTGCATGAGCCACACAGCCATGAAGCAATGAGTCTTTAATATGACTCATACCAAAAAAACCCCAACTGTGTTAGTTTAAGCCCAACTGCAAAAACCCAGGTTCAAAGAGCTCTATTGTATCTATGTTATAAACCGTCTTAGAAAGCAAGTGCTATAAGGTGCCTATAGTCTGGCTGCAGCTAGTGAGGAAAAGCTTCATCCCCTAGGATTTATTGTATGACACAGTACAAGACAACTGTAAAATGAAGCACCTCCCAGAAGCTCTCAAGATTCCAGCGCAGGAGAAAAATTAGCAGGCAATTAACCAGGACATCTGCAAATTGAGTGCAAAATAGGAAAAAAGTTTAGAAGCTCAGAAATTGCTGTTTGCAGATAGAAATGTGTGCAAGTGATGGGGGAGGGGGGGGAAAATACGCTTCTGCTCTAGGAATATGCTGCACTCCCAGTTTGTAAGAGCAAGCATTTCAAAAGATCAACACCCAGCAGATTCCAGAAGCAGAGTTCACTTCAGAAAGCAGTAGTTCCCACCAAAATTAAGAGAGAACATTTCTGGAAAAATAGTCACTGAAATGGAAAGAGCAGAAAAGAAACAGTGCATTTAAATAACGCACACAGGCAAGCAACATCAGCAACAAAAATCACAGGACACACAAGGAAAAAAACGATCAAAAACAATGTTAGAAACAAGATCCTAAGCAGCCTTATCTCAGAGGGGTTAAGCCATCGTACCTACCATTGCTCTACACAGGAAAAACAGGATTTGTTGCCGATTACCTGTACAGATATTTGCTAGAATTCACCTCATCTTTTAATTGCAGATACTGCAATTAAATAATCTTGTTTGCAGACGCTGCCTGGCAAGCATTCACAAACCGATGCGAGTGGTTTGAAAAGTAACTGCTCCCAGCTGTCTGCTCCCTCTGCTGGAGGTTGGTTACTCCGCAGCAGAGCCAATAATTTGCAGCTGAAGTCATTTGGGCAGGCTGTAAGCCTCATGACACCTGCATTGCCCCGACAAAAAAAAAGTTACCACAGTTAATAAGCACAGGACTCTGGACTGTGCATTGAGGCAAGTCAGACATGAGAACAGTTCATTAACCCATCTTGCTATATGCACAGAGCAACTCTGTAAAGTGGCTATTAACCTTGCTTTCGGTGAAAACCTTCCTCTGGGTCGTCAGGTATCGTTTTCCACAGTATCTAATTTAAAGCTTCACAACTATGCTTATACTATGTTAATTACAAGCAGAATTTAGCTCATCTATCATGTTGGATTTCTAAGCACGTACAATTCCAAGAATAATCTTGAGATCTGACTGCAGTTTTTTTTTTTTTCTTTTGATGCAATGAACTCCCTAAAAAGAAACCCCAAGTCTTTGCTCTTGGGATTACCACAATGCAACTTTGGACACAAAGAACTGCATCTCATTTACCCATGAGATTTATTACTGTACATGAAAACTTATGAAATTTTTAAAAATTCATTTCCTTTAAGATCAAGAGCAGATTTGATTGCACATCAGGCTTAACTTCCCTATGAAGACACAGATCTCCTGCATGAGGAAAAAAATGCTTTTAATCTAACATTGTGCCAAGCAGCATAGCATTTCACATTTTTATGGATATTTCCAGAAAAAAAAATTCTAATGAAAACAATCAAAATTCTGCATCCTATAACCTATTCATTAAGCTTTAATTTTTTTAGTTAAGTAACCATAGCCAGGACATGGATAGGAACAAATGGCAAAACATGCTTTAGGAACCGGATTGCAGTCTAGAACATTTCATTTCAGGTGTTTGTACTGACATATCCTTCCTGTGACATCCCTGAACAAGAAACTCTTATTCCCCTCTGTAAGTGAGAATACTTTCTTTTTTCCTCCTCTTATTCACCTGATCCAGTTAAGACTGCACGCTCTTTGCGGCAGAAATTGTTTATTATATGTATTCAATATGCACAGTGTAACAGTGCCTTGGTATCTGACAGCTTCTGCTATTTGTGTTGCAGCAGTAACAGTCTCCACTCTAAGACATCTTCAGAAATAACTGTTCCTTGTATGCAGCATTTTACACCATAAACTTGCAAAAAAGCAAAAAAACAAAAAAAAACAAAAAAACCCAAAAACCTTGCATGCAACTGCAGTTTTTCTGAATTATTTCAGCTGAAGAATCACACTATTTCTGGCAAATTCCCTTTTATTCTCAAAGTGAGATCACTGTTTTTATGAAAAGCTCAGCTGCAGCTTTGCAAATTTACTTTTAGGTCTTCCATTATCTTCCATAGAAGTAATTGCTAACTTGCTACTGAAAACACACTGGCTATTCAGACAGATAAATACATGAGAACAGAGGATCATGTTTTTCGAGAGAAGACTCGACATGAGAATTACTGGTATAAAATCATTTGACTTCAGTGTCTAAAAGGGAATTGAGAGCTTCTGGAAAGTTAAAGGCCTTTGTAAAAGCTGAACTCTTTCCAGACATTAAATGGAGGCACCTGTGCCAGAAGGCAGGCACAACAAGCACAGCAAAAACACTCTTATGTGCATTCACTACACCACCCGAATACGATCTGAAGAACAAACAGAAGTGTCCCATCTGCCTTCTTAACAGAATGGTTAAAAAGTTACAATGGCTACTAACCGTTTTTAGTTAACACTGAAATAAAACCAAGATTAAGTTAACCTTTTATAAACCATCACAAGACAGGCTTTCAAATAGCTATCTTTATTTCACCTCTGTGGCTGAGCCGAGACCAATAAAAGGTACACTTTAAGAGAGACAGGAGTTTTTGATGCACAGCTGCAAAGCAATACAGGAGTCTCCCAGTGTACACTGACAGTAGGTAGCATCAGACAACACTACAAGTCCCCGCTTCCTCACCACCTCCTGGGCTGTTCCTAGCCAGTGCTTCTCCAAACTACGCAGCGGTCTCTTGACTAACTTATGTAAACTGAACACGAACAGAAGAACAAAGTATTTAGCACTGTTCCCCCCCCCCTTTTTTTTTTTTTTCCAATTCCATGCATGCTGTGCAAACATGGTGTGGCAATTAAGACCACCAGAAAGTCAAGAACCTTCTCACAGTGCAGCCACTCTTATGGCTGGGGTTGGTGCATGAACTGATTAGGTACACGAGGGTTCAGGTACACGGTTAAGTTACCATGCAACAACTTAGCTGTTGTAACTTAATCAACCGCGTGCTTTTAGTCTGCAGAGATAAAAGAATAGGGAAACTGTTGGCCTACAATGGAGCAAAGTTAAGCTAAAATCACATTATCTCACATTTCCCACAGTCCAAGAGCACGTGGACTGACGGTTTTCATGGATGAGCTAATGTGCAGCATCCAAACACATTAGTCTTTCACCAAAAAAGCAAACCAGCTCATGCAACATCACTTTAGCCTGCAGACACTATGCAGCCAGCGTGGCTGTCAAAGAGCAGCTATGGTAGTTTTGAGTCCTGACTTTCTCCCACTTCATTCTAAATGAGTTTAACTATGTGGTAACTAGCCCAGTTTAAAGCCCAGATATAGGGATAGAAGGGTCTCCTCTACATGGAAGCTAAGGGAAAAAATAATAATAATTAAAATGATATTTCTGAGGCATCATCCTTACCCAAGTGTGATCTGGTACCCAAACAGTTACCAGTGGAAAAAACTGTCTCAACTCTACAGAGGTACTCCAAAAATATGCAAATTGGAGTACCCTCATTTGGAAGAAGCATGCCTCTCAGAGGAGCAGCAGCAACTTTTAAACTCAGCTGAGACAGGGGAAGCCAATTAAAGGCTCTAAAGATCAAGGGAAAACCAAAAATCCCTCTAAGAAAATTGTCAAGTAGCGTGGATCAGAATTCAGCTGCACACAGAGTGAAGAAAGATGGGGAGCATAAATGCAGCAGGAAAAAAGTGTTAAGAATTTTACTTTGTGAACTCCAAATATGCTTATATTTCATAGGGCTTTTAAGAGTAGCATAAGTAGCTTAATATCAGCCAAACTGTAGCGTGTCCTTTATTATGGCAGTGACTATTTATTTTTACTGGTGAATCCTTGCAGACTCACAGCTTCCACATGCAGCTTTCTACATTCCACAGAAAGCAGCAACTCCTCAATGCAGATGGGTGGGCAACTAAATTCACCAACAGATTTAGGCAGTTTCTTTTAATGCAAGTGACAAGTACACTCTGAATGTCTGTATATGGCAATCTACTTCAGATCTTCTTAGAGACGTTTAAACCTGTAGGTTTCTTTTCTTAGTTAAGAAATTTAGTTCCCCAGGCACCATATGACTGCATCTTGTGCTTTTAATATAAAAGACAGTCACAAGAGAGCAGCAGTGACCTCAACAATGTTGCTATGAGACAGGAGCGAGTAAATATAAGGAAGCTATATTAGCCACATCTCTCTTGAGAATACAGAGAGAAAGTGATTGCCAAACAGGAGAATAAAATACCCATGCATGGGTATAGCCAGACTCTAATATAGCTCATCCCTATCCTGAGATAAGCACTATCCTGCACTTAAAGTACATGTTTAATTCTAAGAACATGCAAAAACTCTGCTGGGAATGGATAATAGTAATAACAGGCTTAAAAGGATGTCTTGAACATAGACCCTGATCTACAACCCTGAAGAACTTTATTTGGTAAGGTAAGCTGGGTGGACCCAGGGAAGCC